TCGGAGATAGTCATACATGAATTTGCCATAGCCATCCGTCAAAAGCAGAACATGGTTGGTGTCTGTAATCTCTCTGTTCGATGTAGATTCAATACCATTTATAGCACCATTGTTGATTCGAGACTTTTTTCTTTCCACCAGTCGAGATTTATTATTACTATTTATTTCACTGTTATTATTATCGTTCGTTGATTTCTCCATTTCTTCAAAAAGTGATGTAACATTTTTAGATATATTGGCCTGTCTCAGTTCTTCTGCGTAAATTTTATTATCAGCTTGAAGCATTTCTAAGGCAGATATCATATTGTCTTTTACATTTTTCAGCTCTAGCAGATCAGTATTAAGTTTTTTTATAGTTATATTATTTGCTTGTGCTTGCTCAATAAGATCCGCATTAATATTTTGCAGCTTCTGGATTTTATTTAATAAATCCGAGTTTGTAACAGACAGATGGGTTTGTGCAGCCATGTCTTTTTCCATTAACTCCTTGTTATTGCTATCAATAACTTTTTGCTGTTCTTTAAGCTTCTTCTCCAGTGCCTGAATTTTACAGTCCTTCTCCTCAATTTCTTTTATAAAATCTTCCTCATAGCGTGAAGCGTCTTCAACCACAGACCTCGAATTACGTTTGAGTCTTTCAATATAGGCATCTCTTTCAGTATTTCCTACCTTCAGCTCTTCAATGATGGCATTTAGTATGTCAAACGTTCCCGGGTCCTGGTCCGCCGCCTCCTGTCTACAGTTTTTAGAGCATATGATAAAGCTATCTTTTATAGTAGTAAACTGCTTATTTGATCTATTCAAACAGCTTCTATGGAGCGCATTTTTACAGACTACGCAAAAAAATATTGATGATTCCTTGTTTTTACAACACTTAAATGTCGACATTATTATTTTATCTTTTTTACAACAAAAAGTTTATTGTTATAAATTTGTATCAGTTTATCCGTTTTTGCTCGTCAGGTTCAAGATAAGAAATTTAAATTTTAAATTTTAATAATCACCAGTAATACAGTAGCACAGAAGCCTCAGTCACTTAACTTTTTATATATTTTCCGCAGACATTATAGAGAAAAATTTGCACTACATTTTGATACTAGTCACAAAATTTTCCATGTAGTTTATCTTCCACTAAAGTTCGATTGATTGGAGCACAAACTAAACACTGTTAAATACTTAACTGATATATTCAAATTGATAAGCGACAATATAAAAAAGAGATCCGCAAAGCCAAAATTGCTTCAAATGATAATCTGATAAATTCTTCTAGTAATCCCAGTAAGAGCATGTGGGAAATTATTAATAAGAACAGAGGAAACAGAAAGCAAAATATTGATACAAAAAACCTTACTTCAGATAACTTCAATAAATATTTTTCAAATATTGCTAATGAACTCGTGCAGGGTATGCCAGAGTCGGATACTGATCCTTTGGAAAATCTCAAAAATGTTAATCTTCAGTGAACATTCTCCTTCTCTGAAGTACGTTTTAATGAAGTTAGAGATATAATAAACCAACTTAAAAATAAGAACAGCCGGGATATATATGGTTTGAATGTAAAAATCATAAAATCAGTAAAAAATCTTATTCTGGCACCTCTCACAAAACTTATAAACTTGTGTATTGGGGAAGGATCCTTTTCACAGTGCATGAAAAGGGCAATTGTGGTTCCTCTGTTTAAGAAGGGTTGTCCAGATGAGGCGGAGAATTACAGACCGATATCGCTGCTACCCATACTGTCCAAAGTCTTTGAGAAATGTATGTCTGGGCAAATAGTAAGTTTTTTTGAAGTGAATGATCCTTTCAATGAAAATCAGTTTGGGTTTAGAAAAAAAAGAAACACCATTCTGGGAATCCTAAATCTCATTTCTGATATTATGGATGCTTTTGATGGACTCTGTTATAATACTGTTCTGTTTTGCGATCTCAGCAAAGCTTTTGACTGTGTCGACCATGGAATCCTTCTGCGTAAGCTAGAAGCATATAACTTCGGTAATGGCAGCCGAAAACTTTTAAAGTCATATCTAACAGGAAGGTGCCAGGCTGTGCAGTACAGTGGTGTGACGTCGGCGGGGCAGGAAATAAAAATAGGGGTGCCTCAAGGGTCCATTCTGGGTCCAATACTTTTCCTTATATATGTTAACGATTTGCCCTTAATAGATCAAAAGTCTAATTATACTCTCTTTGCCGACGATACAACAATCTCTGTGATGGCGGACTCTCTTGAGGCTTCGTTGTTGAGTTCTTTGGAGGCACAGAGGATGGCTGAGAAATGGTTTAATTCGAATAGGTTAGTGTTGAACAGGAGAAAGACAGAGAGAATGGTGTTTGCTCTAAGAGAGATTGGGACAGTGAGAGACCAAGTTCCTCAAGCTAGGTTCCTTGGGGTTCTTATTGATCCAAAAGCACAGTGGGGTATACACATTGAGCCTGTAGCCTCAAAGCTGAACAGTTATTTGTATCTGCTACGTCGTCTTGCAGAAAATGTGTCCCCCGTGGTACTAAGAACTGCTTATTTCGCAACTTTTCAGGCACAACTTTCCTATGCTGTACTTGTATGGGGTCATGCCTCAGGTGCTCAGCGTCTGTTTGGATTGCAGAGAAAGGCAGTCAGGGTGGTGAGTAGTTTGGGTTACAGGGATGATTGTAGGGTGACTTTTCAACAGCTAGGAATACTTAACCTGCCCTCTCTGTATATTCTGGAGAATTTGCTTTATATAAAGAGCAATATCCATATGTTCTCAACTCATGAAGACATACATGCCTATCCCACCAGAAACAGAAGTAATTTAATACCAGGTTACAGGCGACTGAAGAGGTGTCAGAATGGCCCTGGCTACTGGGCAATAAAGTATTTCAATGTGTTGCCATTGGAAATCAAAGAACTACCAAATAATAGATTTAAGGAGAAAGTGAAACAAATTTTAATTTTAAATGTTTTTTATTCAAATGAAGAATATTTTAAGTATTTTTGTCATGATCAATAGTATTAATAATTGTAGTTTTTGCATTTTATTTTATAACTTGATTGTATGTATAAAGCCCAGTGCCTTAATGATTTTTTGTTTTTAAATTGTTTGTAAAGTGAATGTTTAATGTGCGAATGAATTGTCATTTTGTATTTTATTGTCATTTATTATTGACCTATTTTATTTACTTTGACGTATGTACATTGCTTTTTTGTGATTTTAACATGAATAAAGAATTTGAATTTGAATTTGAATTTGATCCTTTTGGTTTGAAACATGAGCAAAAGCTTGAAATATATGGTTGTCTCAAGTAACCCAATCCTAGCGTCTGACATGAGACAGTCAAAAAAACATAAAAAACCCTGGGTAACTCGTTATTTACATAAAACTCAATTTATAAAACCGATTCTACGGGTTAAGACTCAACTTTTGACGTGTTTAAGTCATCGCTAAGTTAAATAGTTTCGAAAATATCGCTTGCTGGAAAGTCAAAATCTTCTCAAGTCGCCCGATTTTACGGTACGGTTCAACGGTTCACTGACGACTGAACGAACAGAAGACTGCGATTTCGGCGGTTGTGATGTCACAAATTCATGCATAATTTATCTAGGGTTGACAAACTGTCGAAAAAAAAACTATCGATAGTGATATCGATATAATGGCTTATCTATCGATAGTAACCATCGATTATCCTATCGATAGTTTGCTTTGGTACAATTAATCAAAAAATAAATGTATATTTTTTTGTTTAAAGAAAATAGGACTCAAAAACTCAAAATCCAACCAGTGTTGCCAGAGGTGATATAATTGTACCAGATTTGGTACCATTCGCTTTGAAAAAGTACGCTGGTACGACGTTGGCAGGTACAGTTTTCAATTTCTTTATTCTTTCTAAATTTTCAGTCTTAGCCTACTGCCTACTTAGTCTAATGTCGATGTTCTAATTAATTTGTATTTCTGTATCTAAATTCGATGTAACAATAATTTCTGATTCGTAAATAGATGGCGCCACCAATGTAACCCTCGTTTTGTGGTTCTTGGTTGACGTAGTTCGTAGTTTGTGTTAAGTTTAGGTTTCCACTTTTCATCAAATTAAAACAAAACGTGCTTTCCTATTGGATCAAAAATAATCCTCATTTTCCAGGAAACGCATGCGCATTATAAGCTGGTACATTTTTACTGAATCTGGTACAACCTATTTTGCATGTCTACCCATGGTCTACACCCAAAAAATAATTACAGATTTCTCAAAACAGCTACAGATTTCTTTATATTCCCCTCAATTTACAGATGTCTTCATTTAACTTTGGCTACTTTGGAACTATCGATATTGGTACAGGTCTATCGATACTATCGAAAATTTAAAAAATATCGATAGTATCGATATTCCTATCGATAGTTTGTTATCCCTAAATTTATCTTTACAAGGAATTTTCTCGGAGACTATTTTGAATATAGGACTGTGGTTTTCATAAAAGATCTAAGAAATTCTTTTTTAATTTAAGTAGCTTAAATCGTTTTTTAGGGTCACACCCCCTTTGATGATTTACTCTCGAGAAAAAGACGTAGGTAGCTATTTAAAATTGTCCTTTATTCAAAGTGAATAAAAGTATAATAATTATATTGTAGTTTCTCCCTATTTAATTTACTTAACGTAAGACTGATACTGATACGCCCGCTAAACCAAAACAAAGAATAAAATTCCATTTCCATAAATCATAACATAACCCATTATTTATTTATTGAAAATTCACAGGTTGCATTGACCCCTAAACACGACACACATTTATAATCCGTGATATTGGGTTAAGTATAGGTTGTTAAAAAGTAAACAAAATAAGCTTCATTTCTGGGGTTTTCCTGCTGTGCTGTTATGAATAAGTACCTATATAATTTCTTGGTAATAATTTTCAAATCCTTATCTTTACATTTTAAAATCGCATATTATAGTTTTATTTATGCTGTTTAGTCACGTTCGGATTATGAATAAATAAATTATGATATCCAATCGCAGTTTTTTTTTTTTTTATTAATTAAAGATGTTTTTACAAAATCTAGACTTTTTTCTTTGTATTTTGCTGGAAGTTTTACAGATATTTACTTCTATACGAATTTGTTCTTATTGTTTCTCTGGACCAACTTTTTCAAAAATGGTGTTTCTTCACTCATTTCTTCTATTTGGTAAGTGGCAAAATCTTGTATGTATGTATGTATTTCAATGGCGAAATTTTTTCTAGAGGTAATTTCATTGTATACAAATTCACTTGTCTTGTTGTTTTAGTTTTTATTGTTAGATTTTCAATTCTCAAACTTTTTGAAGTCTTCAATAGATTTCTGTTCTGCTTTGATGAATCTAAGACAACGCATTTTGGTTCGTTTTTTAACTGTTTCAATTTTTGCTAGGAAAATGTTTTTGATGTTCGTAACAAAATCGTGAGTTTATAACACAAACCACGCTAATGTTAGTTTTCTAAGCATTCTTTCGGATTTTCTTCTTGGAAACCGCAAATGAAATGTTTTCTTAATTTTCATATCAGAATCGTTACTAAACAAAAAGGTGAAATTACGTTATTTTAACGTCCATTGACAATTCTACATCTCTCTAAATGTTTTCAGTGCACGTTCTCGTTAAAATAAACCATAAAATAAACGCACACCGTCCTGGTCAAAACAAGACCAAAAAGAACAGCCGCGATACCGGTATTTTTGTCGTTTTCTGTTATTTTAAACGGAAAACAATCATTTTGTATTTGGACCTTTTTTGCATTCGTGTGACTCGGACAAGTGTGAAGATGTTGAAATTATTTATTGTTACTTGTTTTGTTTGTTGTTACGGGAAACCAGTAGCAGGTACGTGATTGTTTTATGTTTTCTCTCATTAATCTTGCAAACAATAAATACATAATTGACTATTTTTTACGTCGTAGAGGTACTAATTTAATATTTGTCAAATAATGAATAAGTACCTACCTACCTTAGCTGCTTTCGGGTGCCACCTTTTGAGCGCTCCCGAGTTACTCAGAAGTACTCCAGCAACAGTTTGACTCGTTCGGTATCAAGCGTTCGAGTGCAAAACGTATGGAGAATGACAGGTCACTGACAGGTGTGAAGTGTTCCAGGAGCTTCGCACTGTGCACCCGAAAGCGGCTCTTCTAGGACGTGAAGATCCATAGACCAAATACTGATTACTCGACTAATTACTGATACAGAAAGAAAATACTGACTCAAATTATTGTTTATAGCTAATTGTTTATAATAATGATTCACGACGACACGCAAACGATACCTAAGGACGATACTATCATTACAAAAATAAAAAGCTTCTAACTCATGCATGCTTTATGACAATGACATGAGCGAGAAGACAAATTGACGAAAGAGTAGTATGGTGTATGGTATGGTATGAAATATTATGACTGGCGTAGCTGACGTACTGCTGTGAATATAATCACAAGGTCTCAACATTTCAGCACTTGTCTAATAATAATTGAAGACACAAGTGCATAAAGGGTCTAAGTGACATTTTTTTTTTTTAATTCACATTTTTCAGTTTTTTAAGGTTTTGGGGTATACAATTATTTTGAACAAGGTTAAATGACCCTATAATCACTGTTGAGAAAGTTAGTAACTGATAAAGGGTCTATGAAGCATGGAGTTCCCCCTGTTTACAATGTATAAAGGATCTATGTACGACAAATGAATCATAGACCCTTTATGCAACACAATATTTTGAAAAAATGTTACTTAGACCCCTTATGCACTATTAGGCAATTCAAACCACGTGACAATCAAGATGGCGTGGCGGCCACACATGAGCCAAAAAATACAGAAAAATATCTAGTTTCTACCCTAAAAAATGCGACTTAGTCGGACGAATTTGAATTGCACATTTCAAATAAACCCCCCCTGATAAAGATGAACATTATTAAACTGGTAAAAAAAATGACAATAAATTTTAAAATTTTATATGTTAACTTTGTTTTAAATCCTTCTGATAATGAAGATGATCCGTTCTCTCCAGATAACTCCTCCGATGACTATAACCCCGGTAATGATTCTGCTTTAGATGATTCCGATGATAGCTCTGAAGAAGAAAGCGACGAAGAAAGTTTTAATTGTGGAAATTTAAACAAAGAGACACATTACTGCAGAGGATGCCATTCTTCCTCAAGATAAAGAGAATATTTTAGTAACGGCATCTGAAGTGTCTTGTGATTTAGAGCCAGCAACGACTTCTGATGTGAATTTAGTGAATGGTAAGAAGAAAGTATTCAAATTGCCCGAAAAAAATCAAGAAAAAGAGTACTTCGTCCAGAAGCATGGTCAAGAAACGGGTCTGCATTAGCTAGGCAGCAAGGGAAAGCATATATTTCACAAAAAACTAAAAAAGAAGTGCAACAAAAAGCACCTGAAATAGGATTACTCTTAAAAACTTATGCAGAAAAAGGTGCAATGAAAAATTTAGTTCTAATGATAGAGAAGAAATATTCAGAAAATTTTACAAATTGGATCAAAATTCAAAAAATGTTTTTCTCTTCAAATCAATTCGAGTCGCGCCAGTTAAAAGACGTCGAAAAATTCGAGCAAGCGACAAGAGTTCCACATTTTCTTATACAGTGACATGCAATAGTTATTGCAAAACCAGTTGAATTCTGGAATAACAGCTCCATCTCCAGATAAAAGAGGCCGCCATGATTCTAGACATAACAAAAAATCTGACGAAGTAGGTGATTTTATTAAAAAACATATCGTCCCCCTTATCACGTAGGGGTGTATCTAACACAAAAGTCTAAAATTGCGAAATTTAGGCTTTTCTGAGGTACAGTTTTGATTTCACGAAGTGGCGTAACGGTATCTGTTATAGTTTTCTTTAGAGGATGTATCTTATTAAGAAAGAAAAAAATATATCACGTAGAGGCGTATATGCAAACTTAATTTTTTTCCAAAAAAATTTATAAAAGCTATCATAGGTCCACAGTACCTTATATTTATAAAGCATATACATGAGGTTTTATTGTAGAAAAATGACCATGATCTGTTCAAAAATGAAAACATTAAATAACATCACAAATAGTGCATTTCACATTTTATAGTCTCCTGAAAAAAATTATGAATTTTGATACGCCTCTACGTGATAAGGGGGACGATATGGACTCCTTTCCTGCAGAACAATCTCACTATTCGCGAAACAAAAACGCCGACAAAATAGTTATTTTCCTAACAAGTGCGCAAAGTGTTACTTTTCCGCACGCAAACACAGTTATACGAACGACGGGAAGCGGAGTTCGGATAAGTGTTTGCGTGCGGAAAAGACACTTTGCGCACGTGTTAGGAACAACATTTTTCCTACGAGCTTCATATCAGGTCAAATCTGACGTTAAAGATAATTATATTCAGTGTTTGTATAGATGTTGGCTGATATAGAAACACAGGAGAAATTTGTCATCATGTGTCAAAGTCAACAGGTGCACTTATTGTTGCTTGACAATTATTTTTACTTTTCGGCACTCAGTGCGGATAAGGCCCGTATCCGCACTGAGTGCGGAAAAGTATAACTTTGAGAACGGTAATGCGTGCGGAAAAGTACTACCTACTTTGCGCACGCTCGTAGGAAATAGTTATTTTCCTAACAAGTGCGCAAAGTGTCACTTTTCCGCACGCAAACACAGTTATACGAACGACGCGAAGCGGAGTTCGGATACGTGTTTGCGTGCGGAAAAGACACTTTGCGCACGTGTTAGGAACAACATTTTTCCTACGAGCTTCATATCAGGTAGGTAACAAGATTTTTTTTTTTTTTTAAACCCATAATTTGTTCAATTATTTTTAATTAACTTGAAGCGAACCTATACATTTATCAAAAAATTACCTAATAAAAAAAATAACAGAAAATCCTCGTCAGAGCTGTTCATCTTAAAGCATTTAAATTTGATGATAAAGTTTGTAGATTCTTGCATATAAATAGAGAAGAAATCTGACAATGTGTCAAGGTTAATTTATATTTGGTGTTTGTATTGATGTTGGCTGATATAGAAACCGAGAAAAAATTTGTCATCATGTGTCAAAGTCGACAGGTGCACTTATTGTTGCTTGACAAGTATTTTTACTTTTCGGCACTCAGTGCGGATAAGGCCTGTATCCGCACTGAGTGCGGAAAAGTGTAACTTTGAGCCCTGGAATGCGTGCGGAAAAGTACTTCTTTGCGCACGCTCGTAGGAAATAGTTATTTTCCTAACAAGTGCGCAAAGTGTTACTTTTCCGCACGCAAACACAGTTATACGAACGACGCGAAGCGGAGTTCGGATACGTGTTTGCGTGCGGAAAAGACACTTTGCGCACGTGTTAGGAACAAAATTTTTCCTACGAGCTTCATATCAGGTAGGTAACAACAAAAATTTAAAAAAAAAACGATAATTTGTTTAATTATTTTTAATTAACTTGAAGGGAACCTATGCATTTATCAAAAAATTACATAACAAAAAAAAAATATAACAGAAAATCATCGTCAGAGCTCTTCATCTTAAAGCGTTTAATGGATATTTCCATTTGTCATCAGTGCCGCACTGAGTGCATCCGCATCTTTTTCTAAAAGCATGTAACATGTAAGGATAAGGATACATTTTTTTGCCCTGTTTCGACAAATGGAAAATGCTATAAATTTGATGAGAAAGTTTGTAGATGCATATATATAGAAAACAAATCTGACAATGTGTTGAAGTTAATTAAATTTGGTGTTTGTAGGTATAGATGTTAGCTGGAACAGGAACAGAGGAAAAATTTGTCATCATGTGTCAAAGTCGACAGGTGTACTTATTGTTGCTTGACAATTATTTTTACTTTTCGGCACTCAGTGCGGATAAGGCCTGTATCCGCACTGAGTGCGGAAAAGTGCAACTTTGAGAACGGTAATGCGTGCGGAAAAGTACTACCTACTTTGCGCACGCTCGTAGGAAAAGTATTTTTCCTACAGCCGTGCGGAAAAATCGATTTTCCGCATTGATATGCGTGCGGAAAATGAGTTTTCCCGCACGGTGCGGTAAAACTTTTACCGCACGCATATCAGTGCGGAAATAGCTATTTATACAATAAGTTACGAAATGAGCGTCTTTTAGGCACGCGACGTGAAAATTGTCCAACGAGGCAAAGCCGAGTTGGACAACACGTCGAGTGACTAAAAGACACCGTTTCGTAACGTATTGTATACAAGATTTTTTCTACTGGCGTTTCATAATAAAAAAACACCATTTTATTTCATGTGAATAAGTCGATTACACCCAAAATCTTTGTTACCTGCTTTTACTTGACACCTGACACTTTTCATGCGATTTTCTTTTCAAAATTCGACATCAATAATTAAAATCCTAGAAAGTAGGTAATAACACAAAGTTCTGTTTTGAGTAACCCAAACGTTCAATTCAGTAATTCAATTTTCAATATTCATAATAAATACAAAACAAAATTCAAATATGTGTTTAGTGTGTTTTTTATTTCTGAATAATGAATGACACTTTTAGGCACTAGTGCTTAAAAATTACTTTTACGCACTCATAAGTCACTTTTACGCATTCAAAAGTCACTTTTACGCACTGAGTGCCTAAAAGTAACTTTCACGCACTCAGTGCCTAAAAGAATGTCGTTTCAAAACTGAAATGACCATCGAAAAGTTGCTATTATGAAACGTCAGTAGAAAAAATATCATATGCACCTCGACTTGTAGCGTGTACTTTTACTACGGGCCTCGGCTTGCAAACTGCATCCTCGGCCAAAAAAGCAACACTTACAAGCCTTGGTACATAAATAACTATTCAATAGTTGCTAAGGAATCAATGAATAACAATACGGGAAACACTTTTCCGGCCTAGGCCGGGAAAGTGATTCTTGTACTGCTGAATATTTGGAACCAAAAGACAAACATTTAACAGGTATTTAACCGATCGCAGAAAAAATAATATGTGTATTTTGGCGGAGAAGCACATTCTCGGCCTTCGGTGTTTGCCGGCCTCGGCTACGCCTCGCCCGTCAACTTACACCGTCGCCGTCGGCCGAGAATGTGTCACTTTTCCACCTAAATACACAATATACTATTTCTTAAAGTAGACATTATGAAATATAGAAGTGAATACAAAAATGCCAAAGGCTACACTATCTTGCCAATACAAAACAAAAAAAATGAGTTAACAGCTGAAAAAAATCAACAATTTAAAGCAACAGCTACCATACATAGATGAAGCTTTCCGATATTTTTATACAAGACTCTGGGATAATGAGGATTATACAAAAGAAACCACCAAACGAAGAAAGACCAAGTAAAAAAAAATGTGTTATGCACATAGAGTTTATTTAAGTTACTAGTATTGTAGATATCCTACATTGTATTCTGCTTTTAGATTAGTGTTGTTCAATGGAAATATAACCATTTTAAAAATGCCACCGTTTTATTTTTGTGTACATAGACCCGTCATGCAGCAAAAATAAATTGTTTTATTTTATACATCACTGGATAAAGGGTCTAAGTGCACATACTTCTATTTACTTCTTGAAATAGTATATTGTGTATTTAGGTGGAAAAGTGACACATTCTCGGCCGACGGTGTAAGTTGACGGGCGAGGCGTAGCCGAGGCCAGCAAACACGGAAGACCGAAATACACATACTATTTTTTCTGCGATCGGTTAAATACCTGGTAATTTTTTGTCTTTTGGTTCCAAATATTCAGCGGTACGAGAATCACTTTCCCGGCCTAGGCCGGAAATATGTTTCCCGTATTGTTATTTATTGATTTCTTAGCAACTATTGAAACATAATTAAAATACCAGAATATTGAGTTTTGCGACCTGTCAACCAGTCAAAAATGCTGACATTTCTTGTCAATCGCAGAAAAAACACTTTTCTTTTCATACCCAAAAAAATTTTCTAAATAAAATGACTATACTCTGCAAATTTCATTTGTCTATCCACTGTAACAAAAAAGTTCCAGGATAAGAAAGTTAAAATGGTATTTCTGTGAATCTGCTGAATGTAACATAGATCCTTTATGCACTTGTGTCTTCAATTACGTCTCAACACAAGTTTTGTCATTTTTTAAACCTACTTACTTGAACCAAAGTGAATAAAATAGTTTACTGATGACTGAGTTTCCTCAGGTTTTCGTTCGGTGGTGACATAACTCTTCCATCCCTAAGTTCAACTATACCGTCAAGGTATAGTTGAATCGGTTGGTGCTTCGTAGCTTCTTCTTGTTTTTTTTTTTGCGGACTGAGCTTTTAGCAATATTTTCTGTTAAACATAGAAATACAACAAATAAGGTATCAATAGAAGAATTAAAATTGTGGCATGGACTTGAAGTTTCACTCAGGTCCGGGAAAAGATACTTTCATTTGTCGTCTTTTGGTTATTAACCATGACGAGGTGGGTAGTTGAATGAAACACAACACAACAATACATCTTTTCTTTATATCTTCAGGTCATCTATGATCTCTTTATTTTAATCATCATGGACTTTGTCTTCAACATAAAACTAGCCTGGAGTCTAAAAGTAATTTTTATTTTTATTTTCAGATTTTGAAACCGCAAATCATGTTAAACGATTCTCAGAAAAGGAAACAACACTCTTACAGCTTCAAAATCTCCTGGACGAAGCTATTCTGAAAGAAATATTTTCTTCTATAAGAAAACAAGAGCGTAATTCAACCAGTAAAGAAGCAACTCCAAAGCCTCCGACAATTTTGAATAGCAAACCAAAACCTCCTAGTAAACCATTGTCGCCAAAACCACCAATACCAAGCTTTGAAGACCGTTTCCAAGAAATTGCAATAACTCCAAATAAATCGCCTTTGGAGTACAATCCTCAAAAGCCATCATTTGCTGGTTCCTTTTCAAATGGACAATTGTCCCAGCTTATACCTCCTGGTAATCCATTGCCTACTTCAAAAACAACTTTTGAAGACAGAATTCAACAAATTAACCATTTAAAGTCCGATAAGAAAAATCCTATCATACAACCAGTCAAACCATGGCCCACAAACCACTTCACTATAATTTTTGAAGATAAATTCCAAGAAATTATTACTTCAACCACAACCCAACGTCCTTTTGCGGGACAATCGACTAATGTTCAACTAAGTCAATTGGCAGATGATTCAATTCCAACGTTCGAGGATAAATTCCAAGAAGTTTTACCATCCTCATCAAAATCACCTTTGGAGTATAATGGTCAGAGGCCTAGTTTTGCTAGTCAATTTTCTAATGGACAGCTTAGCCAATTGATACCGTCTAGAAATCCTTTACCTGCAGGTCCCTCAAGCTCTGTTCCAGTTAAAGATCGCTTCGAAGATGACAGTGAAGAGCCACAAATAGCTCTACCAACCGCAACTAAATCTCCTCTAGAGTATCATGGTCAGAGACCTAGTTTTGCTGGACAGTTTTCGAACGGGCAACCTAGTCAATTGGTACCCTCTAATCCTTTACCAGCTGGTTCTTCGAGCTTTATTCCAGTCAAAGATCGCTTTGAAGATGATAATGACGAGCCACAAATAGCTTCATCAACCACAACTAAATCCCCTCTGGAGTATCATGGTCAGAAACCTAGTTTTGCTGGACAATTTTCTAATGGACAACCTAGCCAATTGATACCCTCTGGAAATCCTTTACCGGCAGGTCCTTTGAGCTCTGTTCCAGTCAAAGATCGCTTCGAAGATGACAGTGAAGAGCCACAAATAGATCTATCAACCACAACTAAATCTCCTCTGGAGTATCATGGTCAGAAACCTAGTTTTGCTGGACAATTTTCTAATGGACAACCTAGTCAATTGGTACCCTTTGGAAATCCTTTACCACCAGGTCCTTCGAGCTTTATTCCAGTCAAAGATCGCTTTGAAGATGATAATGACGAGCCACAAATAGCTTCATCAACCACAACTAAATCTCCTCTAGAGTATCATGGTCAGAAACCTAGTTTTGCTGGTCAATTTTCTAATGGACAACCTAGCCAATTAATACCGTCTGGAAATCCTTTACCTGCAGGTCCTTCGAGCTCAGTTCCAGTCAAAGATCGCTTCGAAGATGATAATGATGAGCCACAAATAGCTCTATCAACCACAACTAAATCTCCTCTGGAGTATCATGGTCAGAGACCTAGTTTTGCTGGTCAATTTTCTAATGGACAACCTAGCCAATTGATACCGTCTGGAAATCCTTTACCTGCAGGACCATCGAGCTCTGTTCCAGTTAAGGATCGCTTCGAAGATGACAGTGAAGAGCCACAAATAGATCTATCAACCACAATTAAATCTCCTCTGGAGTATCATGGTCAAAAACCTAGTTTTGCTGGTCAATTTTCTAATGGACAACCTAGCCAATTGATACCTTCTGGAAATCCTTTGCCAGCAGGTCCTTCAAAGTCTGTTCCAGTCAAAGATCTTTCGGAAGAAAATGACGAACATGCAAAAGCTGTTTCAATAGCAAATGAGTCTTCTCTGGAGAATATTCTCGTGAAACCGCGGCCAGTAATTTCAAAAATGAGTTAATATGGTTCACCCAACTTAATACTAAACATTATTTTAAGGTTAAGGTTAAATAGGTACGTACTGTTGTTATAAATAATTTATTCTTCTGCATTATACTTTATTAAGCTTTTGATTGTTGTCTTTTTCAAATGGTTGGTTTTTTTAGGAGCTTTTGAGATTGATTATATCAAAACTTGGAAAAAAGGGTTTGTGGTTTGTCGTAGATTAGTATTAGGCATTCCAGGTCACGTGACTTTGACAGGTCCGCTGGGGGGCAAACAAAGCCTAGATCAGTATTTACACCGTTCTTTCAGATTGTGTTTCCGAATTTTTGCGTTCTTAAATTCTTTCAATAAGTTTTAAGTTGTTTTTGTGGTAGAATGGCTAACATTGACTATTATTCATCGTTAGCTAGTGATGTGAAATGTCGGTATGACCAAAAAATACAAATAATTGCCAATATAGATCCCTATAAACTTCTACCTAATGAGTTTACTTTAAGTATCAATGAGTTGCCAGAGGCTTCAATTTTGGATTTATCCGAATATTTGACCCACACCCACAGTTACTACACAGGCTTGCAGTTGAAGGCGTATAAAGGATTATTCAAGTTCTGCTGGACTACCTAAAAGGTATTAAAAGTAAATATTACTTGTAGAAACAAACCAATTTTTCGATATAAATGTGTTTTTGTATTTTAACAACAAGACAGTCATAATACTTACCATTAACAAAATGTTTTGAACAAATAAGAGCATTTTTCAGAAACGTTTCAGTTAAATCTCTCCTTTTGAGGCATTTAATCCACAGATTTCGTCGTTCCTTTTTTAGCTCGTTTAGACGATTCCCTAGATCTCTTAATGCTGCTGGGATCCTGAAAAACCTTTCTTTATCTCTTTCCGCTCTACTAGAGCACCTAACAACGCAGCAAAAAAAAGGCATCTTCACAAAATAGATTGAAAATTCTTGGTTTAACATTGAATCAGGTTATGTTTGGCTTTTGTGTGCCCCCCAAACTAATATGGCGGATCGGTTATGACATTAACCTGGAATGCCTAATAGAATTTTTAATACCTATCATTGATACCTATTTAGACGTACCAGTCGTTTTAGTGACTAAACGTATGTCGCTTCTTGAACACACAAATAAAATTAGGTTAGGAATTTACATGAATTTGACGTATTAACAATCGACATTCGTTTTTGTTGGTAATTTTTTGTTTCATCTGATTTATGATTGATAAATAAGGATAGGGTTATTCTAAATGGGTACTGAAAATACTTATAATACATATATTATAATGTAGCCTCTTTTTTAACCAAAAAGTGTACTACAGTGGTAGCTGTTCGTCAGAGAGCAATATTAGGGTGAGTAAGGAGTGTCTATAGTAGGCGCCAGAAGATTTAAATTTTTAACTTCCAAATCCTCAAATAAACTTTATCAAAAAAATGCATAACAAAAGAAATCTGAAAAGGAGGTAATCCAAAAATAATTGTAACAACTGTCTGCACTCATTTTTGTTTATTTCATTGAAGCCTTGATGTTATTTAAAGCCTGAGTGCAAAAAATATCCCTCGTTAAATTTCTTAAACCTAAAAAGCTAAAATTTTCCCTAAATCCTTATAACTAAAAAAGAGCTGAAAATTTCCCTAATAATTCATTGCACCCTGTGCAATGTAACAGTACAAAATAACCCTTGGCCTGATCAGGACCGAAGTTTATTAATTAAATCCAAGGATTTCAAGATATAAAGTTAAACTTATAAGTATAAAAAACCTGTTTAATCCATGTGCTTCAGGATACTAGATCAACGTCCAGGGATGCTATTTCTTGTACAATTGTACTAGATCTAACACAATCACGTTTTACCTAGTACGCTAGTACCTGTCTCATAATGTTAGTACAATTTGGATTACAACTCGTGCCACTGATATCGAGTCGAGTGTCGCTCTTCGTTCTGTACCGTACCCGAGTTAGCTCTACTCTCTACTTGTGGATTGCTTGTTGAGTTTTACAATGGTTTTACGTTCCAGATCCCGCTCCGGTGCAGCTAAGCCAGACAAAAAATTGGCGTTTCAAATATGGTTTCGTACGCAGCCGCACTTTCTTATTCTGTAACGTGACGTGTGTCATGTATCGGGAGCTATTCGGTTATTCAGCCGATCACGGTAATCGGTAGTCGATTTAGGTATCGGGTCTTCAAAAAAAAAACCAATCAAAGATTGCTATGGTTTTTTAAACGTATGTCTTAGCAATATTTTTCTTTAATTTTGACAATGTCAGTCAATGAAATTTAATGTCAAAATGTCATGTCAAAAATCCTGACCAATAAAGAAACAATAATGCGACGTACGTTTTCGTAACCAAAGCAATCTTCGATTGTTTTTTTTTTTGAAGACTCGATATAACTCAGTAGAAGTTTATATTTTTCTATCATTCAATAAATAAGTGATATTTACCCCCAATTAGCAGAGCCTAAAGTTTGTTTTTTATTTAAAGATAATTCCCCAAGTCAAAAATTTAGTAACTATGTTGGCAACACAATCCTTTTCTACATAAAAAATTTGAAAGCATTGACAATTTTATATTGTATTGCCAACATAATGTCATTTTGACTTTTATCTTTAAAAAAAAAACAGACTTTACATTTGTATTCAAATTTCAAAATTTGACCCGCTTTCAGTTAGTACACAATGTCGCCAATCTAGTACAATTATTCTCTACTTTCTGGTACAATTTTTTTAGTGCTGATAGCATCCCTGTCAACGTCTGCCAATTGAGCTAGGGTGAGTTGAATTAGGAAACCCTCACAAGAGCCATCTTGAAGAAATGCAAAAAGGTGCAGGAGGCTGCGAGCTGCAAATTCTCGTAGTCAAAGTGTAGTGGTTTTTTATGGTTAGTATCACTAAAGTTGGAGCCCCTCGGTAGATCCTTGAAAATCAAGGATCTGGACACAAAATGAGTGGCTGAACCACGAAAATATTGATAGGGGCAAAGAATATCTTAGGGTAATTTAGGAATTGTTGTTTTCTTTTGGTGTTCATCTAATAGATTTCAAGAATTTGGTAAACTACCAACATTATTTTTTCTATTGACGTTGTAGATATTTTCAAGGTTGGTTGTTTTATTTTTATGTTTGATCTCGGTTTTAACTACACTCACCGACACAAAATTCGGGACAACCAAAATTTAGATAAAATTTGATGTAGGATAACTTTTTCTTCCAAAGTCCGATTTCAATCTTTTTTTTTTCATAATGTAGATAATTGTTTTGGTTTTAATTAATTTTATTCAATTTTCAAAAACACAGTTTACATGTTGGAATATACCAGGAAAATAAAAAAGTATATTTTTTCTCTTAACTTTGTAACACTCTGTAGAGTAATTTTGCGGAGTAAGCTACACTGGATATGCTTTTCTGGAGAGTTTGATCCATTTTCAACATTTTGCTGTTTTATCGGTCTTGGTATCTTTATCGGTTTGGGAGATATGAATTTTTGAAATAAACATTACACTTTTTGATCAAGTCTAAATTTTTGAAATAAACCTTACACTTTTTGATCAAGTCTATTTTTAATTGAAGCATGGAACTAGGGGTTTTATAAGTTAGTACCTCGTGTTACCTCCTCTTGCTCTTAAAACAGCTTCTAAACGTCGATTCATTCCTCTAATCAGGTTTTGGATATCCTGTTGTGGAATAGCAGGCCATTCTTCTTCCAAAGCATTTCGGAGCTGTTGGAGAGTGAACAACTGTCCTCGGCGTTTCCTAATTCGTCTACCTAACATGTCCCATACATGTTCTATGGGATTAATGTCAGGACTACGAGCGGGCCAGCGCATAACGTTTATTCCAACCTCTTTTAAATATTGGGCCACTCTTCTGGCAGTATGTGGACCGGCATTGTCATGCATGAAAACGAATTCGTTGCCGATAAATTGTGCAAAAACAACATGTTCTCCCAGAATTTCGTCAATGTATCTTGGGGCAGGTAATCTTCGGTCAATAAAAACAAGTTCTGTTCGAGCGTCAAACGAAAAACCGCCCCATACCATTATCGATCCACCAACAAAGCTAACCCTTTCGCTGAAAGTACATTGGGCGAATCTCTCCCATTATCGTCTCCATACTCTTTCTCGTCCATCAGGTGACCTCAGGCAAAATCGAGACTCGTCTGAAAATAGAACTTACCTCCACTCTTGAAGGTTCCAGTTAATGTGTGGTAGATATGCTAGGTTCTACAAAATCTAGCGTAGGAAGAGCCGTAGCAAGGTTTGAACAACTGTCCTCGGCGTTTCCTAATTCGTCTACCTTACATGTCCCATCCCATACATGTTCTATAGGATTAATGTCAGGACTACGAGCGGGCCAGCGCATAACATTCATTCCAACCTCTTCTAAATATTGGGCCACTATTCTGGCAGTTTGTGGTCAGGCATTGTCACGCATCAAAACGAATTCGTTGTCGATAAATTGTGCAAAAACAAAATTTTTCTCCCAGAATTTCGTCAATGTACCTCGGAGCAAATAAATTTCCTCGGTCAATAAAATCAAGTTTTGTTCGAGCGTCAAACGAAAAATCGCCCCATACCATTATCGATCCACCACCAAAGCTAACCCTTTCGCTAAAAGTACATTGGGCGAATCTCTCCCCTTGTCATCTCCATACTCTTTCTCGTCCATCAGGAGACCTCAGGACTCGTCTGAAACTAGAACTTGCCTCCACTCTTGAAGGTTCCACTCAATGTGTTCTTGGAAAAAAAGAAGTCTATTAACTCGATGCTGTCTTTGAAGTTCTGGTCCAGTTGCCGGTCTTCTGGCCCGTAAATTGCCTTTAATCAAGTCTTCTTCTCACTGTTATTTCATTGACAGCAACTTGAAGAACTCTTTCGAGGTCATTTCTTATCACTACTGCACTCGTATGCCGATCTCTTAAAGCCGAGAGTCTAATGAAGCGATCATCAAGTGCGGAAGTAGCGCGATTTCTTCCAGATCCAGGTCTTCTACTGTAAATTCCAGTCTCACGAAACCTTGCTACGGCTCTTCCCACGCTAGATTTTGTAGAACCTAGCATATCTACCACACATTAACTGGAACCTTCAAGAGTGGAGGTAAGTTCTATTTTCAGACGAGTCTCGATTTTGCCTGAGGTCACCTGATGGACGAGAAAGAGTATGGAGACGATAATGGGAGAGATTCGCCCAATGTACTTTCAGCGAAAGGGTTAGCTTTGATGGTGGATCGATAATGGTATGGGGCGGTTTTTCGTTTGACGCTCGAACAGAACTTGTTTTTATTGACCGAAGATTACCTGCCCCAAGATACATTGACGAAATTCTGGGAGAACATGTTGTTTTTGCACAATTTATCGGCAACGAATTCGTTTTCATGCATGACAATGCCGGTCCACATACTGCCAGAAGAGTGGCCCAATATTTAAAAGAGGTTGGAATAAACGTTATGCGCTGGCCCGCTCGTAGTCCTGACATTAATCCCATAGAACATGTATGGGACATGTTAGGTAGATGAATTAGGAAACGCCGAGGACAGTTGTTCACTCTCCAACAGCTCCGAAATGCTTTGGAAGAAGAATGGCCTGCTATTCCACAACAGGATATCCAAAACCTGATTAGAGGAATGAATCGACGTTTAGAAGCTGTTTTAAGA